TTACCNTCCGTATCCCCGGTAGTTTTAGGCTGATCCGGAGTGAAGTGAAGGCTGCAAACTTTGCTGTGCGGCGTTAGCTGGTAGCGACAGATATTTACAAGCCATCTTCTTAATTCAGGATCGCTTGGAAATTAGTGAAAGCTTTAAAGCCCATTATATTAGGAAGACAACAATGTTCATAGTATTGCTTTATCTGCGTCTGAAATACGACTTTGTCTTTTCTAGTTGTCATGGTAACTCAAAGCGGAAGCAAGTGAGCCGCATTGGCTCATGCAGATGTGACGTCAACGCCGTAGGTGCAAAGAGCCCATCGATTATTGACTGCAAAACAAAAACTAACAAGAACAATCATAAAATCCTGGAGGGATATTTAATGATGCTCTGAAAAAAAGTACACTTTAATACAAAAATAATTAGTTTTTCATACTGAGCTTTACACTGTATTTATTCCACTAAACTTTTTTACAGATTAGCATTAGGATCTTAGCATCCTTTAATTATATGGACTCTGTGGCTGAAAAACTGATTATCTAGCTGAAGTATTTGTAATATTTCAGAAATACTGGAGCAGAATCTGTACTTTAAAAGAACGTTTCCTCTTTTAAAAAGATTAACTTTACATCCAGTTCCAGTTTATTTTGGTTTTAATGAAATGTAAATTTCATCATAATGAGATGTTCCTGTATTTATGTCTGAGCTCTGGCAGTTAAATCCACATTTCAAACACATTTAGCTCAAATACAAAAACCTGCTTAATGCAGCAGCTAACTAGCAGCTGATACAGAAGCTAGCATGACAAAAACTACAGCAACTAGCTTGTAGCTATCAGGCAGCAGCTGATGTGAAGTTAGCTACAAGCTAACTAGCATATTTGCTTCACATTTTCCTTGAACCGACTGTTGACACTGCTTTTATTTTAAAATGTATTTAAAATTAAGAAGAACTTGTTTGGGGACTGGACAGTTTTCAGAATGTTAGCGTTCGCATGCTAGCAGTTGAAGAATTGTTATTGGTTTACATTGTAAAAATGAAAAAGACAAAAAATCTGTATCAAACTTAAATAGTGATTTAGAAAAAACATAAAAGATATCAAACAGTCATGAAAATAACTGAATGACGACTTATGTAAAAGTTGGATGGAGTTTCTGGTTGCAGTTAGCTAACAAAGAGCACAAAGTTTTTCTAAATTTGGCAAAACAAGCTTAGCATTGAAGAGTCGAAGCTTCTGGTTTGACAGAAATGTCTAAAAGTCACTTTTCAAACATTAAGTAGTGAAATAAATACAGAATCAACGTAAATAACGCCATACATGCTAACTAACATGTAGCTGCAGCAGCTAGCATGAAGCTAACTACAGGCTTTTCCACGCAGGACTAACCACAATAAATTTAGTTTTAGTCTTTGTTGGTTCCCACAAACACCTGCCCTAATATTTACATATTAAATATGTTTGCTTTATGTTAAATGTTGCAGATTTTTGGTTGAAACTTTTCCTGATAGAGAACAACGCAGCATCAACATGTCTGCTTCTTTTAGAGAAAACCAATCAGGAAGCAGAAGATTCATGACTGAAATCATTTCAGTGTTTCAGAGCTTCACATCGTGAAGTGATTTTTTTACTTTATGTAAATAAAACTCAGTTTTGAGATGAAGTTTTCTGATGAAGCCGTTTGTTTTGTGTTTTCATCGACATTTAATCACAAACTTTCAGCCAGGAGGCGAATCGACCCTTTACCACCACAGACTGTTTAACATGCAGATTTCACTGCAGGTTGAGGATATTACAGTAAACAACGTAAATCAGGTGCAGTAATAAAACAACATGGAGGACTGGAGAAAGAACTTCCTGTTGACGGGTTAAAAAGGATCAACGTGTTGAGCAAATATTTATTTTTAAACTTGAACGAGGCTTTTTACCTCCCTGAGGAGGATATTTTTGCACAGATGTACAGAACTTGTTTCTATGTTTACATGATCAGATTCATGTTTCTATTTATAATGTTTTTATTGTTGGTTTCTGCTGTACTCCAGTGTTTTTGTGATGAAGTGTTGAAACGTTTAACCCCATCATGACCGTGTTGTTTCTGAATAAACTTTATCGCTTGATGATGATAAACTGAGTTAAATAATGTGGTAAATTTCCATGTCTGGGTTTTTTTTAATTGATGTAAAACTGTAAAGTTGTTGGTTTAATGTTGAGAAATCAGGGAAACTTGATGTTTCAAAACTTTTAGTTCAGTTTTGAAATGAAGGAAACATTGAGAAACTCTAAACTTCACCATTTATAAAAAAAAAAAGAGACAAAAAGTGCCAAATTATAATAAAAGGTATTGTTTTAATAATTTTTTTAAATATTTGTTTCATAATTAATATGTTCTGATTCTGTTAAATCTTTATTTCTCCAGATTTTTGTGGCCCTTAGAATAATTCTCCGTGGCCCAGACTGCAGTTCAAGAATGAATCTGGGAAACTTTTATGATTGTTTAGAGCAAGAATTTCAGTGACAAATTTAACTCTTCTTGATTCATAAACTTTTCTTTTAATTTTAATTTCCTAATAAATAATAATAAATATTCAGCAACTTTTTACTGAAGAAAAAAGTCGAGAGCATTTTTAGAGTTTTTGAAGGTCATTTTGCTCTTTGTTGCTGAGAAAAGAGAAATAAACTGGTTGGTAAACGCTGCGCCGTTCTCTCCTCGTTCAGATGTTTCACCTTTAAATCCCAACAAAAAGACGTTGGGAAAAGTTTCGGCCTGGACTTGTGACCCGATGACCTGGGATGCTCTGAGACTCCAGACCAGCTGAGATCCGGTTCAGGAACACGACCAGAACCGGAGGAACCTGCTTCTGCTTTGGAGTTAAACTTGGTGGAAACGAAGCGCTGAAGGCGGCGAGTCGCTTCTCATCGATGAATCAGAGACATTTCTGAGGCTCTTTTACGTTTCACACATTTAACACATCCAGTTAGTCATCCAGTATTATTATTATTATTATTATTATTACATTGTAAATCCTGAAACTAAAGCAGCCCCACCAGCGCAGCGTGGACCAGAATGACTCATTGTTTTTGTTGGGAATTTTTATTTAAATGTTTATTAATGAATTAAATGTGAAATATCTGAACTTTTCATGTAATTTTTTTCCAGGTTGTTTGTCTTTTCTCAGCATCAAAAAGGAAAACGTTCTTCAAAAACTACCAGAATAAAAGTCTTTTCTTTTACGTAAAACGTTGAATGTTTTGGAAGGAAATTCAAGTTAAAAGACGTTTTCCATTAATGAAGAGTTAAATTTGTCACTGACATTCTCGGGCCTGTGGCATCCTGAGCAGTTTGGTGAAAATGCTCAGGATTGTAAAGGTTAAAGGTCAAGATCTCAGACGGTGTTTGTGTCTGTGAGCCAAACCGAGTCAGAACCCAGAACTTAATAACCGTGTTTAAGGAAATCCTTCGATGACGCGTCTCTGTGGGAAACTGAGCCCTGAAGGAGCAACGCCGTCCTGAGCGGGTCGGCGCCGGTCTGATCCGCTGACAGAGCAGAACCGACCCGCTGTCCAGGAAACTTCAGTCAGCAGAAATTAAACACTAATGACCCAGAATCACTGCTAAACCGTCAGGCTGATAAAGCTGCTGGTCTAAATATTAATATTAATTAATACTAATTAATGTTAATTAATGTAATTGGACTGGATGCGGGCTGCACAGTGGAGCAGTTGGTAGAGGTGTTGCCTAGCAGCAAGAAGGTTCTGGGTTTGATTCCTGGGGTCTTTCTGCATGTTCTCCTTGTGCATGGAGGCTCATGGTGGTTCATGGTGGTTTTTCCTGTTGGGTTGAGAGAGCAACACTCATTTGTCAGGTGATTCCTTTAACTAAACGAGTGCCGCTCTCTCAACCTGTCAGGTGATTCCTTTAACTAAACTAGCCCTGCTCTCTCAACCTGTCAGGCGATTTGTTTAACTAAACGAGGATTGCTCTCTCAACCTGTCAGGCAATTTCTTTAACTAAATGAGCATCACTCTCTCAACCTGTCAGGTGATTTCTTTAACTAAATGAGCATCACTCTCTCAACCTGTCAGGTGATTTCTTTAACTAAATGAGCATCACTCTCTCAACCTGTCGGGTGATTTCTTTCATTACTTTCCTACTGAGACGTTTTGGTAGAAAATGTTATGTGGCTGTTTTTTCCATATTCTGCTCCAGATGGAGTGACCCACTTACTGAGAGAGCGGCTCTGTGCCATTTCTGGTGACTAATACCCCCTCCACCCACACCTCCACACACACACACAC